GTTTTTGTTGCTGTTGTTTGACAGGATCTCATTCTGTAGCCCCGGCTGGTTTGGGATTCACAGATATGAGTGCCACCAGGTTAGGCATAAGCAGCATTTTTAAACTAATGGTGTTGAGTAATGTGCTTGTAGCAAACAGTACTCAATGGATGTCACTCTCAACAGTTCACTACTTCAGGATTTCCTTCACTACGTGTGTGGATCAGGACACGAAGGCATGTCTGCACTGCTGCGTTTACTTTTCAAGCTGAAATAATTGGCAAGAAATAATAGTTATAAAGACTACTACAAATCTAAATTCTTGTCATCTTAGCCTTCAAGGGGTGGGGATGGGGGGGGAACCATCTTGAATGTAGTGCTTTCACCAAACTCCTACTGCTCCATATACACACAACAGGTAACAATGCTTTGATTCATTTGTTAATGAATGATTTGTGGAAAGGGTCAAACAACTAAGAGAAAAGACAGAACTTTAGGGCATTCATTTTAGATGAAAAAAAGAATAGCTTCCAACAAATGAATAGCCATTTGAATCAGCTGTTCCCAATCTGTGCTTCAAGACCCCTTGAGGGTGGAGCGACCCTTTCACAGGAGTCGCCTAAGGCCAGGGGAAAACACAGATATTTACATTAGGATTCATAACAGTAGCAAAATGACAGTTACGAAGTAGCAACAATCTTATGGTTTGGGGGGGGGGGGGTCACCACAACACGAGGAACTACATTAAGTCTCAGCATTAGGAAGGTTGAGAACCACTGAGAAGTTTACCCAGGTTACAAAGACACCAATGAGAGTAGCAGTGGGCCCAGGATATTGTAAACAAGTTGCTTTTAGAATGTGTTTGCTTAATACTGAAGCAGAGATCCAACATAAGAGGGTTATTAGAGGGATCTGCATCACTCTGCTCAAGCAAGTGGAGTCTGGAAGTGGTATAAAAGATGAATTACTCATTTGTTGGTTCCTCCACATAGCATTTTGCTCACCAGTGCTTTCAAAAGCACAATGTACTGCACACTGTTCTGTACATAAACGGAGGGCAAGGGCGATTGGGAAAGGCTCTACTAGCCGTTAAATTATTTTTTATTTTTATCTGGAACCCACCACTCATTATGCAATAAAGAAAAAAAATCACATGAAGCCTGCAGATTTGGGTGTCTCTTAGTCCGTGATAAAAATAGTCTCAGACCACCCAATTTTCCTATGAATCAGGTAAAAATGATTCAACTAATGAATACTTGCTCACAGCACAGCCGTGCCTGGTGCTTACTGTGAGCTTTACCATATTGTCCATCCAACAGACACAAACCATGGATTGACTAGTAGTTTAAAACAAAATTATACATTTTGCCAGAATGGACAAACAAGCATGTTCAGGATTTTCATTTTCAGAAATTATGTCTCTCCTGCCTAATAACAGATAATCAAATCCTTGGTTGACAATATGGGAATAAACCACATGAAAATGGTTTTATTTCCTTCTATCTCCTTTTATTGAAATGGATTTCTTATTCATATAACATATTCTGATTATGATTTTACCTCCCGCAGCTCCTCCCAGATTCCCCCCACCTCCTCTCCCAGACAAATCTACACCCTTTCTTTTTCTCTCTTGTCAGAAAACGAACAGGCATCTAAAAACTAATAATAAAATAAAGTAAAAGATAAAGAAGTGGGCTACGACAAGCAGAAGAAAAAAGAGCCAATGAAAAACACACATAGATGTAGAGGCACACATAAATCCCGCAAAACACAAAACCATAAGCCGTGTAATATATACACAAAGAACTTAAGGTTAAAACAAAAAATCCTGTGTAGGTAGAGTTTTCCTGCCTGGCCCACAGTCAGGGCAAATCTCTCTCACCTGCCAGTCCCACAGCCGCTCAGACCCGACCAAGTAAACACAGAGACTTATATTGGTTACAAACTGTATGGCCGTGGCAGGCTTCTTGCTAACTGTTCTTACAGCTTAAATTAATCCATTTCCATTAATCTATACCTTGCCACATGGCTCGTGGCTTACCGGCATCTTCACATGCTCTTTGTCATCGTGGCGGCTGGCAGTGTCTCTCTGACTCAGCCTTCCACTTCCCAGCTTTATTCTCCTCCTTGTCCCGCCTACACTTCCTGCCTAGCCAATGGCCAATCAGTGTTTTATTTATTGACCAATCAGCAACACACTTGACATACAGACCATCCCACAGCAACCCTGAGACAAAGAACCTCCAAAAAATTCATTTTGTGTTGACCATCTACTACCGGGCATGTGACCTGATCTTAAGTGTGGTTTGTATACCCAGTGAGACTCTGTTGGAGAAAACTACATTTTCCTTTGCAAGCAGTTACCAGTTGGAGATAGCTTCTGGGTAATGAAGGGGGCGATGTGTGTGTACTTTCTCTTCTCAGACCTAGGACCCCCAATGTGCCCCAGGCCTGTGCGGCCATCTCTGTGCTACCATCCTCTCTGCGAATTCAAATGTGTGTTGGTCCTATTGTGTTTAGAGGTCCTTGTTTTCTTGGTGTCCTCCATCCACTCTGACTCCTACAATCTTTTTGCCTCATCTTCTGCAAGGTTCCCTGAGCCCTGAGAGGAGGGAGTTGATGGAAACATCCCATTAAAGACTGAATATTTCCAAGTCTCTCACTCTGTACCCATTGTCTGGTTGTGGGTGGTATTTATTCTCATCTACTGCAGGAGGAAGCTTCTCTGGTGGTGGCTGAGCAAGGAGACACTGATAGATGAGTATAGCAGAATGTCATTAGGAGCCCTGCCTGTCTATCTAGTCTTAGGTTCTTGGCCACCCAAGCACCATTGTGTATGAAGAGTTCCATCTCCTGGAGTAAGACATACATCTAATCAGATATTCCCACAACTTTTGTACCACTACTGTCCAGTATATCTTGCAGGTAGGTCACAATTGTAGATGAAAGGGTTTGAAGCTGGGTTGGAGTTTACCTTTCTCCAGAAGCATGCAAAGTACCTTACGATACCATGAAAACTAGTTCATAGGGGTGAAGGCACTATGTAGGCCATAGCTCCACTTCTCCATCTTCAATGTGTTGTCCATATCAATGGGGCTCTACTGTCAGCTAGTAGAGAGTCACCAATAAATAACCTCGGCAATAGCTTGGGTTGTTTGGGAGTTTCCATGGCACCCTTTGGGACAACAACTCTATTAGCTGTAACTTATTCCTGGAAGTGGAGGCTTCATTTGGTGGTAGGAGATGTCCAGGTGGCGCTCTGTTTCCTCCATTATTTGGCGATTTCAGTTAGCTGACCTTCATATGTGTATGTATTTTAGAAGCTTCTACTGCATTAAGTTTCCGTATGACCCCTCGGGTGGCTCCTAGTTTTAAGTGTCCCTCCCTGTCTTCCCTCTCTTTCCTCCCTCTTCCTTCCTCCTCCCTGTTTGATAGTTTATTCCAGTACCCCCTCCCTTGTGGTGGTCTGAATGAGAATGGCCCCTATGCTCTCAAAGATTTGAATGCTTACTCACTAGGAAGTGGCACTATTGAACAGATTAGAAGATGTACCTGGTAGGGAGTGTTTGTGAGACCCTGTCGGGTATGGCCACTGGGGTTCCTGGGGTAGAAAGTGTTTCTAGGTATTGGGACCTGACCCAAGAAATGGGAACGGGCTAGGAGCAGTGGGGCTGAGAGGGTTCACTGGAGGGAGGAAAGCTGGGTCTGTTGGCAGGCTCTAAATAGTCCCCTGGAGATAAGAGGCAGAGAGGTAAGTGAGGCCCTAGCAGGTGGCCGCCTTCAGGTCTGGGGGTGAATCTTTTTGCCTCCTCTGTATTCGGAGCATAGGAAGAAAGTGAAGATTGCCTATCTGATTTCCAGGCTGGTACAGCCAGAGGGGTCCCGGAAGCGCCTCTGGAGTTTGGAGGCTCAGACAAACGGATGGGGTGAGGGTCTAAGGCTGTGGGAGAAGCTCTGCCTAATCCCCTCAGAAGGAGGCCAAGAGGGAGGTGAGGCAGCAGCGGGTGGTCTTGCGACACAGCAGAGGATAAGACTGGAGAACTGGGATTGGAAGACGGGAGGAAGAGTGAAGAGCTACCTGATTCACTGGCCGGTGTGAAAAAAAATGGTTTTTAAACTAGGTAGTTGCGTTTATCATAGACGGTGGCAACTGTTTCCTAATTTCATTTTGTATCTTCAGCTTCGTTTGTATCTTACACCCATTTGAATTGGAGAAATTCTGACAGGGGGATTCATGATGCCCCCAATTAAAGCCTTTTGTGCTAAACAGGCTGAGAAAAAGACTTCGAAGCAATTTCTTTACAATTAAGCGCGTGCCTGCAGTAGATTGCACTTAACCTGATCCCCCCCCCTCCTCCTTTTAACACGGAAGTCTTGTCTGTTAAGCCGTAGCCGAAGAGAAAGAGGGATCAAGCCGCGCTTCTCAGTCACCAGTTATGATTTTAATAAATAAAACCCTGACGGGTGGCATGCTTCGTTCTGTTATCTACCTGAGAAGGTTAAATGCAATGAATTAAAAATGTCATGTTCACAGCGTCGGGTAAACCAGCTTCGGAGGAACCAAACTGCTGCTGATTAAGTGTTCTCACCTAGAAAGCTCCCTATCCCTCCTAAATCATCATTGTCCCAAGTCCTTTGAAAACAAATTTTAAACAGGTGTCATTCTGCTTTGCGTGGACCTGTCCTTTGATTACTCTTTTATTAAAAGGGAAAAAATAATATTTTCATCAAGTCTAGAATGGGGAAGAGCTTTTTTTCTTTTTTTTCTTTTTTTTTTTTAAGAGATGCATAATCTGGAAGAGAGCAGGGAAAGTTGGATTGAAAGGGGGAGATGAGAAGAGGGTAACGGGCTTCAGGTAGGTGTGTGGGACCCGCGAGAGGGCCGGGTGGCCGCTGCCCCCGCTGCCCGCGCGAGCCTGCTATTGGCCGAGGCGCCCAGCAGCCGGGAGGCGCCGCTCCGCGCGCCGCCGCCCCTCGCTCCCCGCCGGCTGGGCTCCGCGCGTCTCCGAGCGCTCCGAGGAGAAGCGCAGCCCTGGCAGCAGCGTCCGTCGGCGCGCGCCGCCCTCCTGCGCCCTCGCCCGCCATGGGGCCAACTCGCAACTCCTAGGGCTCAGCCTCGGGCCGAGGGAAATCAAAGCAGCAGCAAACAGAAGCCGAGATGAGTTTCCGCAAGGAGGATGGCGTGAGCAGCCTGTGCCAAAAGGCACTGCACATCATCACCGAGCTGTGCTTCGCGGGCCAGGTGGAGTGGGACAAGTGCTCGGGCATCTTTCCCGCCGACAGGGCCAGCCAGGGAGGAGGTGGCACAGGTAAGGGGATCGACCTGCACTGCCCCGGGACAAGGGGTATCTTCGGGGCAACCTTCCTGACTGGACCCCCGTCTCGCCCGGCCACGGCGACTTGCTCGCTTGGTTTGTCGCCAGCACCTGCTGGGTCTCTGCTCCCCGGAGGCTCTCGCGCTCTCCCACCTGCTGCTCTGGCGCCCCAGGGACTCAGTGCCCTGGCGTGTCCTGCAGGTCGCGGCTGGACCACCCAGCCTGGCGGGTGAATCTGCACTTGGCCTCAAGGAACCTGCTCCTAGAGGTCGGGCTGAGTCGGCCCTAAAGACAGAAAGGATCCCTCAGCTGTAACTTTCAGATGCAACCTGTCGAGCTCTCCGAAGCTCCCAAGGCCTTTCATGATGCATAATGTCATTTTCTAGGGCTTCTTGGCAACGGTGGTTGAAGGGTAGGGATTATGGATAACTGACGCTCGGGTCACTTGTCAAGGAAACGGAAAAGAGATGCTAAATCTTTTGCACACTACTTACTGGCGTCCAGAACCGTGGAAGCAAATGGCGAGGGGGGAGGGGAGCGGGGGGCGGGGTAGATGTGATCAAATGACCCCAGGGTCACTTGATGGCATTAGGAGATGCCCTGTTTCCTTATGTAGGGTCTTGTCGCATTCACTTGGTTTTCTCCGGTCATTTTGGTCTCTGGGCAAGGATTTCTGGCTTGAGCGGGAGGATAACCAGGGCAACAGGTAAACGCAACCGCAAAGTCAGGCTCGGAAGAGAGGTGCGAAGATAGAAAGAGAACACAGTTCCTTCTCCACCATTCACCCTGATCGCTAGACAAAGGAAGAGACAGTGTTGTGGGGTGGGAATGGGTTCGGTTTAGCTGGCACTTAGGGTTGTTTACATGGACTGTCTCCGAGGTTTTCAAACGCTCTGCCGATGGCAATAGAAGCAAAGAGGGGGGTTGTCTGGACCTGTCAGAACAAGGGACTCACGAAGCAGAATGATACATTATTGCTGCTGTCAGTGTGATGGAAGCAGTCATTTTTTTTTGAATGTGTAAACACAACCCAATGTCATTTCTGTTGTTTAGTGGGTGTCAGATTCTTAAATGAAACTGAACAGTGGAAGGGGCCGTTTAAGCAATGTGCATGTGCTTGTGTGCGTGTGTATGTGATATGCGTGATGTGCTAAGGGTGTAATAAAAACCGAAGTGCTGAGACTGTAAAGACCTCTGCAAAGAAAGTAAGTAAGCTCTTCTGAAATGTCTTTAAGCCACCATTAAGCCAAGGCTCAGAGTGCAGGAAGCGAGAATACTCAATTCCAGGGACATGCGTTTTGGTCACTAACATTTGATGTTGAGGCTATATCTCCTAGTTCTTATTCTTTCTTGGCCCTTGTGACCACACACCAAAAAGTGATGTCCCGGCTCTCATTGTCTAGCAATGTAGAAATTGCTTGAAGATTGGAAACTGAAACAGAACTCGGTTCTAAACTGTCCAAATGTGCGATTGTGTAAATTCAGGATAAAACACGGCATATAAATTGGAGATAGAGTTCTGAGGTTTTCCTAATCACTACAGTGCATCACTGTAGTCCTAAGTCTGCAAGACATTCACTTGGAAACGAAAATGAAGAAAAATGACTCTAAAACAATTGTGTGAATATTTTTCTCTCTTTAAGGAAAATATGTGCTATGAAAGTGGGATATTCTAATATGTGAACATACAAAATAGCTCTCAATAGAGAGGAGTAGTCCCCAAATCGCACATGACAAATGAAGATAAGATTCCTCTGCTCTTTCCTTTTGTAAACCGCAAAACAATGAAAAACAAACTGCTCTAATTTTAAAGTGGCATTCCACTATTAATGGATCACTGAAGCAGAGTCAATGGTTATTTGCTAAATGCTTAATTACATCAGCTAGGCACTCAGATGCACGTTGTTCTGTAGATTTTCTTACAGTGTGTTCCCTTCGTTAAGGTTCCTACACGAAAGCACTTCCAATAGTTGATGCTGACTGCCTCGTAGGTAGGAGAGCATCAACAACTTTTATTGATATAGTAGTGGCTCACTTTTAAAGGGACCAGTTCATGGTGTTGATTTTACATCACAGTAACAATCCTGATATTTGAAATCACATTCATTCTTTCATGGAGTAATAGCAAGAGAAAGGCTAATGTAATCTCAGATAAAAGGCATTACCACAGTAAGGGAGTTAGAATTCGAGTATATCTCTAAGACAGAGATGTGGCCCCTGAGGGCCCACAGTCCAGCCAACCAAGCCTAGGTAGCAGCTAATGCTAATCAAATTGCCCTTTTAAAATGCTTTGTAAAAGTCACTATATGAATCAACATTACTAGTACTACAAAGTCCATCGTGTGGAAGTTTTAGAGAATTAGATGTGGAAGAAGTTTAAAAACAACAACAAAAAAACACTGATCGATTGATTGTCTTCCCCAAAATGGATATGTTATCCTACAAATTCACTTAGTGCACAACATGATATAATCAAGAAAGCTTATGGGAAATGTAAAAAAAAAAAAAAATAGCTTGGTCTTGGGTATTATTTCTAAAATATACTATAATGATATACATAATCATTTTAAAGTGGTTTTAGGCTCATTTCTGGACAGTATTTGATTGTTGCTTAGACGTTTATTGAGTTTAAGAAACTTGTATTGCTTGAAAGTCAGAGCTCCCAATCCACAGCTAATCAAGACCATTGAAGTTCACAGCCACATTCACATCACAGCTGTGGTTGGCTAACCTTAATATAAATATTTTAATGAGTTTAACCCATCAGTGTTTCAGATTTGGTTTTGTGCAATTTCAATATGGGAATATAGATTCTAAAAAAAATGGACAAATTATTCCCAGTTCGTTCTGTTCTCTCTCTAGAAGTGTATTATTGAGCAGATATTTAACAAAAATTTTCTTTCTAATCAACTAATATTGATTAGAAATCATCTAATCTAATCATTGATACACTTAATGTGCACATTAAGTCCATAATTCTATGCCTAGAAAAATCTGGGTACATTCTAAAGACTTAATAAATATTTGCTGAGTGAGTAAAGTATCATAAAGTAAATGTACTGAGTTTATTGAAATTCTAGCTAAGTAGGAATATCTGTATAAAAGAGCTACCCTTTGGGTTATAACGAGGTTGTGTCCCAATTAGAAGCTGATAATAAAAGTCTAAAGTGCACTTAATAAACGCAGCCTACTGAGCAGAAACTGTGATCATTTTATCTTAACCTATACTAAATAAGCACAAATCATTACTTCAGCCTACAGCCAAGCATCTCAAGAAGGTTATTCCAATATTGTTAAATTCAGAAAAGGCCAGCATTCCAAGTTCAAAATAGGGTCTCTACCTTATCTCTTGTACCATTATAAAATAAAAAAAGTCATGAATCGGAGCCACTCGGTGGCAATTGTCTGTATTTTGAAAGCACAATAAGACTCTCTAGATTTACATTGATAAAATTAATGTGCACTTTAAATCACTAGAATATTATGTCTTTGAAGACAGAGGTTTGTTTACTGTAACATCCCCAGTGCTGGAAACATCCGGGGCGCATACTAGAGACTTGACTGATAATTTGTTGAATGAACAAAATGGCCTCCTTAATGATCCCAGTAGCAAAGGAAAGCATGTGGCTTTGCTTAAGGAGAAAGCACTTGATGTAATAAAAACCCACCAGTAAAACTTTTGTTAGTTATTCCAGCATTAACCAGGAGTCATTGTTTTGTAGATATGAAAACAGAAGCAAAAAAAAAAGAGTTTACACTTTAATAACAAATCACTAGTTACTGATGAATGTATTTAAGAGCCTCGGCCTTAAATTCCAGCCTTTTTTTTTTTTTTTTTCTCGTTTTTCAAGACAAGGTTTCTCTGTGTAGCTTTGTGCCTTTCCTGGAACTCACTCTGTAGCCCAGGCTGGCCTCAAATTCATGGAGATCTGCCTGCCTCTGCCTCTGCCTCCCAAGTGCTGGGATTAAAGGCGTGCATCACCACTGCCTGGCTAAACTCCAGCCTTCTTAAATCCTAGTTGTTACAGCAAATACTGGTAAACGTGGAATTTTAACTATTTATGTACTGTTCACTATAACATATGAGAAGAAACCAACAAAATTTTCTCACTTACAATTACCTCAAAGGCAGAATCTTTTTTTTATGTTAGATTTCCTACCACGCAAATAGAACATGGGTTATTCATTTGTCATACTTGAACATATGCGTTCATGTGCGCCTAAGTATATGCAACTATTTGTTTGCCCATATTCTACCACGCAAATAGAACATGGGTTATTCATTTGTCATACTTGAACATATGTGTTCATGTGTGCCTAAGTATATGCAACTATTTGTTTGCCCATATTCTGGTCTAAATAGAATTGATTCATATTAACAATGAGACCATGTGAAACATTATTATTAATTTTATTGTGTGTATATGGATGTTTTTCCTGCATATAAGTCTGTGAACTATGTGTGGGCAGCACCCACAAAGGCCAGAATGTCAGATCCTCTGGAACTGGCATTATAAATGGTGGTCAGCTGCCATGTGGGTGCTAGAAACCAAAGCTGGATCCTCTGCTGAGCAATCTCCCCAACCCAAGATAAAGCATTATTAAATGTATGTAATTTTGAACTCATACAATTTCACATATGGCTCTTTTTAAGTGTTCATAGATAAATATATAATGGAGAAAAATGTTAGAACAAAATTAATTATTTTTCTAATTTGTAATTAAAAAAATCAGTAAAAACTCTGATTAGTATATTTTCCTGCCAAACTTAGGAACTAACCATCTATATTATTACTAAAATTTATTATTGTGAAACAATGAAAACTGTGTGACAATGCAAAGGAGCTAAATTCCTCCTCTCACAGATTCTGAAACATAATTAGTTCATGCACCGAAGAGACTGGATTTCCTGATAACGAGTATTTTAATAAAGGTCAGTAAATTATACTTTCTCATTTCTCATTGTACAGTGCCAATTGTACTGACCAAGTTTA